ATATAGCACGGTGTAATTCAAAGGTCTGCAGAAATTAAATTCGGCTCTACGCTAAGAAGCTATTTATGTTTGTAGAAGATTTATGGGGAAGTATATGATTTTTATCGATTTAGAGAAAACATATAATATGGTGGTGCTTAGAGAAGTTCTATGGTGGGTACTAGAAATAGAGATTTTTTCATTGGATGGATAAAGACACTTCAACTAGGTGATGTTCCGTGTGTGACACTTGTCACTTAATGACACTACTCGAACACTCTACTATGATAATTTTTCTTTCTCTGTTAGAAATATTGTATATGCTTAACTCAAGTTATTATTAAATAATAAATAGATACTCATATTTAAAAGATTTTAACAAAAAAAAAAATTAATAACATGTACAAAATTAAATTTATACTATTAAATGAAAAATTTTAAAAATTTAGTCAACGTATCGACGACGAATATCGTGTCGGTACATCATAGGTGATCTAAGATAAAGTACATGGAATGTCCTTTTAATAGGAAGAAATGGATAAGTGCTATAGAAGATCCTTATAAGTTTAAAGAGTCAATTCTATAATAATAGATGTGATACACTTAATGTTACTAAAGGTGTGTGTGAGTCACATTATTTGGAAGAATGTATTTTGAAATAGTAGATTGATGGAGAATGTGTGGTTGAAAAATAAGGAAAAGTTATTGATGTAATGGAAAATATTATTTTATTGATGAATGTGTGGTTGAAAATGAGTAGAAGAATAAGAATGAGAATTTTAATGTGACTCAAATATGAGCTAAGTGCTAGCTGTTAAAGGACCATGTCCATAAGGTGAACCAAGCAGAATGAGGATCTTAAGATGGATGTGTGACCATACTAGAATAATGGGCCAGATAAAGAATGAGAATACATGCAAATAAGTGGAGGTAATATGGATTGAAAACAAACTGAGGAAATGATGATTTTTGGTGTTGGAGCGCGTCTTGCCTAGACCTAAAGAAGCTTCTATTAAAGAGTGATGCGATTTTAGCATTTCATATTAAAATGGTGAGAGGTAGACCAAAATAACATTACGAAACAAGACGAACGGTGAAAAAGGATCCTGTCCCTAAATTATTGGGAGTAAGTTGTAGTTTGTTGTTGTCGTTCATAGATGCTCCACTTGGCTAGGGGATATACTTTATTTGGTAAAAATCTATTCTTGTAATTGGGCTGCTGTGATTACCGGTTCTAGTGGTAGAATTGGTTCTTTTTTGAGCTGGTTGTGCCATATGCCATTTGAGAGTTGTAGTTTAATTTGCAATTCTCACTCCTCAAATGTAAGCTTTTCAGGTAGAAGCAAATCAACTCAAGAAATGTTCTTATTCACTAGTTTAGAAGAGAAAACATGGTTGTCAATTAATTGGAGTATGTAACACTTTGTAGCTTTCCCAAAACATGAATATGAGCAAATACATGGATCTAGAAAGCTATTACATATTTTTCCTAAATATAGTTCATGTATCTAATTAATATAATACATAAACAGCTCATAGAATGTCTAAATACATGAACACAATACAAAACACCTTTAAAGAAACAAAGTAAAATTGGTTTGTCATCTCAACAATGTCTTCCATTAACCATTTTGCTTTTAAATCCCAGACAGCAAGGTTCTTCTTGACGTGTCATCTTGATTTCGTGAACACTAAAGTGGGATTTCATTTTTGCAATGCTCCATACAACTTCTCCTTCATTAACTAGTTTTTTCAAGATATGAAACAGAATGCGGACATTCTTTGTTTTGAACAGCAATTTCACATTTATAAGATATTTATGTGAAGGTGAATAAGTCAGTTTCCATCTTATGATAATGGGAACATTCAACATCGTGGTGGTTTACCGATGAGAATTTGTAGTTTTACTTTCACTGCTATCCACGATCCCTTTTGCTTTGAGAAGTATTAGTACTACGTTTCTCATATTCTTTTGTAGTGCTCTGGCTTTTACATTCTTTGTTAGCATTATGTTGCCCTCCTCTTTTTTATTGTCCACTGGTTAACGGTCTTTTGCAAATGTAATTAGAGTACATAAACAGATAAACAGATCACATAATACTCGAATACATGAAAACATAGTTTGTGTGTTGATAACTTGAGCATTCAAATAGTAGATAACAAGTGCTTATTCTCATTGGGAAATAAATATCTAATGATTCAGAGTTAGATATATAACATGTTTACAGTGGTTGAAATTTTCAATTAGATGGTGCAAAAAGATATTTCAAAGAAAATGACAAGTCATAGTCCTACGCAGTCCAATGGGATTACCTACTATCTAAGTTTTATTAGTAGCAGGGACCAATGTGGTTTTGGAAGTGCTAACATCATAAGGATTAGAATTATCATAGCCCTGTTACCAGAAAGCTTGTTCATCCTTAAAAGATTATCAAGCTTCTCAGAATCACTAGAGAAAGCAAGAAGTTGAGCCTTGGAATATTCAAGTTCGCTCAGAAGGTTCTTAACCTGGATTTTTAATTTACCATTCTCAATGGTCAGCTCACTAACTCTCCTAAAAGATTTCTCAATTTCACCTATAAGATTCTTAATCTTAGACTCTAGGGATTGATTCACAGTATCTAGTTTATTAAGGTACAAGGTAGACTCCTGAAGATCAGCTATAAGTTTTTCTCTAACTAGCTCAAGTTCATTGATCTTTTTAAACACGACTTTATCCACCTTCTTAATTTTAAGACTCTCCTCAAATAATTGTTGATAAGCCTCACGAATCTCTTCCTCATCTTCAGAATCTTTCTCAGAGTGCTCACTACTATATACTTCCACAACCTTCTCGTTGTCCTTGTCCTTATCAGATTCATTTTTAATCCTAACTTGAAGGCCATAAACTTCCCACTCTCCTCATAAGTGGACCTCTCAATTGGATTATCCGAGCTAGACTCGTGATCAGTGAAAGTTGCATTCAAAGCTTTACCTTGATTTTTCTTACCATTAGGCACCGACTTCTATAGTGGTCAAAACCTCGACACTTATGACATCTCACGCTGTTAGATTTCTTTTGAGACTCGCTCAGGTCTCCTCTATGTCTCTCTTTAGTCGTCTTCTTATTTTTAAACATTGTTTGAAAATTCTTAACAAAGTATGTTATTTCCTCGTCATTAAGTGATTTCGAATCAGAAGAATCGTGATAATCATCCCTAATAGTGTTCAACGCCAAATATTTTTTTCTTAGGTTTAACTAATGTTAGTTCATAAGTTTGGGGATATCCAACCAATTCTTCAACCTTAATAGCATCTATGTCCTTAGTTTCCTCTAGATACCACTTGAAAGTTACTATTTCGACCCTAAAATCACCTATAGGTGGTGAATAGGTGAATAGCGTAGAATTAAAATTACCAATTAAGAACAAGAAGTCACGTTTTAATTGTTCTAGATGTTTAGTCAATCAAGTTCATTTTATCCTATGTTGAATCCACAATTATAAATAAAGCAGTAAAAACACAAGATTTGTTGATAGGGAAAATCCTTTACAAGATTAAAAACTTCGGGGCCAAGCAAGTAACTTCTACTATAGACAATAAGAACTTACAGCATGATTCAACCTAGAAAACCTACTATACTCGATGATCTAATTCCTACAATCTCCAAAATCTGTTGGAATGTGTATCACTCACACCTGCTCCCAATCTTTTGGAATTGTCTATTTCCCGTGGATCGCCAAGAACACCTTATACTTGTACTCTTTCTGTACTTCTGGTCCAACCTTCATCATTTTTCAGTAACCTCTGAAAGCTTTTGTGAAAGTACCTTCCTAATTATATCTAGAAAATGAGTGTTTTGAATTATATGATTTTGATGATTTTTCCAACTTGTGGTTGATTGATCTCAAGATGTAGAATTGTTGATTGACCTCCAAAGAATGTTATGAAGGTAGAAAATAATGATCAACCACCCACAAAACGAAATGAACATTGAGCATTTTTAATATGAGGTATTTGGGTAGTATAGGATAGTTAAAGCTCTTGAAAATCGTGAATTAGGGTTTCTCAAAAAAAATCGTCGCTTGAGCGACAGCATGTCCCTCGAGCGAGAATTAGGTGACAATAATTCTGCTTTTTCTACTCCAGCATCAACTAGGCGACACGCGTAAATTCGGCGACTCTTTCTTCATGTTCTATACTCGAGCTCAAAAACTTCTTAACTTTTACAACTCTTTTATAATAATCATTTTGTCAAAAGAATTGTCAATACAACTAAAATCCTAACAGGTGCAAATAATGCTTTTAAAGACCGTGTTTGCATGATTCAATCCGATTAAGATTATTTCTTCTTGATCATTCTTCTTGCTGCAATTCTTCTTTTTGCAATGGTGTTTTATCAAGTTAGTGGTTTGCTTTTCATTTTTCTAAAAACTTTCTGAACAAGATCAACACTATCTCGTTTCTATTCAATTTGGATATGAAAGTCAAACATAAATGTAACAAGCACAAGTGTCCGGCAGACCAATAATAGTTTCCAATTATTCAAATGTGGATTTGTGGATATGCTGCTTCTCTTTGAATTTTTATTTCAAAAACCTTAAAGTGCTTCAGCAAAGAAGTGACACTAGTGTTATTAATGAATAGATTTTCAAAATTCCCCTTTGGTCATTATATAAGCTGTGGATCGTCCAAATGTAAGGACATGACTCATTAAGCCTGGTGTAAAACTTAACCTTTCTCATGAATAGAAGAGTGTCTTCAAAACATAACTTCTCTTTTATATGTCAGTAAATAAGGTTCTCAATTATAATCATAAATCTCAAGTTCCTCGACTCTATTAGCTTGTGTTTTGGCATATGGTTTCATTATTTTTCTTTGAAACATATTGTTTCATGCTGTGTGAAATACTTTTTCTTGATAAATATAATGTGTTTTGTGTGTTTCAATTTTTTTTATGTGCATATCAAGGTTTGTAAAACTCACTTACCTGGAATTTTTTGTTTTCTTCAGGATCTATAATGAAATATGATTCATCAGTGATGACGAATAGAGATAATGATGATGTTGATTTAGGACTCTCTCTGGGTTCTACCAATCACCGCGTTCGAACAACGTTGAACCATAGTTCGGGTGCAGGTGTAAATGCAAACTCAGAAGTGGACATAGCATTTGCTGCAGCTGATCCCTTGTCTGAATTAGTTTGGTCCCCACACAAAGGTTTGAGTCTGAAATGTGCAGATACCAGCCTAGCAGATAAAAATCCCTTTGTTACGTGGAATTTGGGACCAAGCAATAAGGTTTTTCCACCATCTCAAAGCGTTAGATCCAGGGGAACTGAAGATGAAAAAGCTATAGATAAGGGAAACTCAACTATATTACTGGCAACAATAGATATGGATAAAGTTGGTGATGGAACAACTGTGGCGATATCTTCTAGAAACATTCCTGGCCCTTTGTGCAATGCAAGCCATGGACACCATGAGGATAGTAAGTTCATTTTTTGGATTCTTGTTTGCATATATGTGTTCATCATTTACTTGGTCTTCCCTTGTTCTGCCATTAAGCCTTTTTCCTTTTTTTCTCTGTATTTTTTAATTGCCATTCTAAGAAATGCTTATGAACTCATATGTACCAGAAAGTGGTGATGAAGTCAGAGAAGGGGTCGGTAATCATAATGATGAGCATCTTAGGGACAATGGAGAGAATTTGAGAAGTCCAGAGAATGTCCAAAATCCTGAGATTTTTGAAAGCAGCAAGAACATTGCAGGTACCTAGCTTTAATGCTCAGCACTATTTATCAAGGCTATTAGTTCAAGAATTAGATGTGAATAATTGTGTCCTGAAACTATTAAATAGTCCCAAACCGAAATTACTTTCTGGTATTCTATTTACCAAGGGATGCAAGTTTATTTGAGCTGTAGCTTACTTTCAGTAATTGTCTTTCACTAGGCTCAGATTTGCTCAGTTAGCCAATACCATTATATCTCCTGATTGAGTTTCAACTATTTTTAAGGCAGTACTACTTCACCTAAACTCTTGATTTTAGCAGCTCTTTCCAAAAGACGTGAAAGCAATTAAATCCGCCAAAACTTCACCAAAGTAATTTTTTGATTGGATGGGGATGAATGAAAAAATTACTAAAGCGTTCAATGTTTTATCATCAAGGAAATGACTTGTTGAATTTCTCTGCAGGACATGGTATTTTAACAAATGAAACCAGTGATTATATGGCTAACATGGAAATAGCATCCAGCAAACTGAATGCTAAAGTTGAAGATGTTGCTGGTAGCAGTCAAATTTTCGGATTCAGTGTTGCTATGGCCTCTGAATCTCATGCTGTGAAGAATTCTGACGGTCTTCTTTGCCCACTACCAAATTTACAACCTCCAAAGGAACAAGATAATGAAGTAACATCGGCTCCTGGAGAGGAGAATAGAATGAAGATGCACCATTCTACCAGTATGCACCATTTGGTGAAGTTGGATTCTAGTGATGAAAATGACTTGTACCATCTAGATGCTAAACAGGCTCACAGTTCAAGTGACGAGAGACTTCCAAGGGACAAATATCTTCCACTAGAAAGTGCTCCAAAAAATAGTATGATCTTTTTGAATCAGAGCAAAAACAAAGAAAAGGCATTATCTGATGGAGATGATAATGGAAAATTGTCAAATTTTGAGGAAGACAGTCAGGAGAGTGTAGAAAGTTGTAATAGTGCTGGGTTCTTTCCAAGAGGTAAAAGGCAATGTAACTATGAAAAGGATTTTTCTGGCGGAAGAAAAAAATTGAAAAACCAAATTCAAGGAAGTTCTGGTTCAACCTCCATGATCAGGCATGGTAACTCTTTCATGAATTGGATTTCAAGCATGGTAAAATGTATACCAAATTCCAGTCAAGGACAGGCCCCATCTCTGGTTCTTCATCTTGCTCATCCAATTGATATGCACGACAAAAGTCACCCGGGAATTTTAATTTCCAAGAAAGAAAATGATTCTCCTAGCCAACCAATTGGGTTCCAAACTATGTTTCAGTCCTTATATTGTCCACGTGTAACAAGACCTGATACGAGTGTCTCAAAAGAAAGTCATTGCTTAGAAGAATCTAAACAGCTTGTGGTGGCTGACGATATATTCATTGAGAATCCTCCAATAACATGCCACAGAGACACTGGTACCTCTTGCAAGAAAATCCTTGCATCAAATGCAGAAGTTAATCCGTGTCAATCAAGAAACTTGGTGGGCCAGTATAGACAACCCTGGAATTTTACTGCAGTTAACGCTTATGGTCAGGATGCTTGCAAGAGAAATTCAGCAGGAAATAAACCTTCAAGAAGCCCTGCATGTAGTAGAGAAAATGCTGGAATGAGCTCTTCTGATTCGCTACATGAACTGCTAAATAAAACTGCAAATAGTACAAGTCCAAGTTTTCCCTTGGAAGGCAAGGGTATTGGTAATATGTCTAACGAAAGCGGTTCAATTCCTAGTTTGTGGATTACCCGTTTTTCTACCAAAACTACTAGGTTAGAGAACTGCAATCAGGCTACTGACGGAGACTTCAAGCGTTCCACTGTTTGCACCAGGGTCAGTCCTCTTACTAAGGTAAATGCTGATTTTCCCAATGCCCAGAAAAGCCCTGAGGCCAGGGTTAACTCCCCTGAAGACCAGGTTGACTTTGGGGCGAAAGAGATGCAAAGCTTTGCTACCAATTCTGAGGCGTCCTTGGAATTTAAGTCTATCAGTAAATTTGATCCCATTCTACCTTGCCAGTGTAAAAGCTCGGAGGTGATGGCCCCTGTGTTTGCCCATAGATTGGATGCACTCAGGCACATTACACCCTCGAATTTTAAATGTTCTTCAACTTTCCCATCAGTAACTTGTTTCATTTGTGGTGGACGTGGCCATGATATGCTTGACTGCCCAGATGTAACAGAAACTGAGCTTGATGATCTCGTAAGAAGTGCCAGTTCATTTTACAGGGTGGAAAAATCTCCTCCTTTGTGCCTTAGATGTTTTCAACTGGATCATTGGGCTGTTACATGTCCAATGAGATCCACGAGTAGGCACCATCAGTCAGAAATGACTGCTTCTTTTGCCAATCATGATACTGTGGGTTGCAAACAACTCAGTGCAGGTAAAGAAAAATGTTCTAGGTCTCTGGGTGCTCAGGAAGCTCATCCACCAGTTTTTATTGATCAGAGGGCTTGCAGGGACAGGAATCCTAATATGCGTTCCTTTTCCAGTAACCTGTTGTGGAGTGTGAGGGAGTCTACAGGCAAAAGAACAAGTTCAAATGAAGGTCAAAATAATAATACTTCAAATTCTGAGGAGAATGATTTGAAGGGAATTCATGATTTACCGTTGTGCACCTCTGTCAGCATGAAGAATGCGGATGCATTGATAGAGATGTTTGATGTTGTAAAGAAGCTTCGCATCTCTCGTGTAGATGTCCTCAGGTAGGCAAATATTCTGGCCAAACTGTCAATAAATTTTGTGAAATTTTATTTATACTACTTTTTGAGGGGACTGGACCTTGTATGTAGAACTTATTCAACACAAGCTGTCATGCTAGTTAAAGATGAGGATGAAATAATGTTCAAACAATATTTTCTACCTACAATTGATAACATTGAATTTTATATAAATCTGTTCCGTTAAGGATTTTCATCAATCATCTGACAAACTCTATTACAATATTATTATGTGCCTTTGTTTTTACATCTTGTGAGGCTGAGTACGAGGTTAATATTATCTTAATACTCATGTTTTCTTCTTATTATATTTTAATCCTTCATCATCATGTTTTCATACATTGATAATTCAGCCACTGATTTTATGTGATCTCAGATGGATGAACTCCAATGTCTCTTTGTCACATTTAAATGGTTTTTTCTTGCGTTTGCGACTTGGGAAGTGGGGAGCAAACGTCGGGGGTACTGGCTACTATGTTGCTTGCATAGCAGGTACATAAAATGACAGTTTCCAAATATAGGTTTGAATAATGATGTACAGAACCTCTGTGTTTTCTGTAAAATGGAGAATATTTCTATGTTATTCTTTGCCAATTGCTTTTTCCAATTCCATTTTTTTTTCCCTGAAGAATCAACAGGAGCACAAAGAGAAAAATTAGATAAAAATTCCAAGAATTCTGTCTTTGTAGACATTTTGGGGATTCAATCCTTTGTTGGAAGTCAGTATGTCTCAAACCATGAATTTTTGGAGGTACAGTTTTATCGTTTATTTTGATACTTATTGTTGCTCGTCACATAATTGTCTTTCCCGCACCAAAACCCTCACTAGTCGACCCATATCACTATATGATTGACTATTAGAGCATATTTTCTTGTGGTGATAGAATATTAATGATTATTCTGACCTTTTGATAATTGCAGTTGCAGAAAGTATGAGTTTATCGTATTAGTAAGTTCAAAATTTACATGTGTGATAATTTCACTTGCTATGCCTATAACCGTACGAGGAAAACCAAAATAAGAAATTCTCTTCTTTCTGCAACACTCATTAAGTGACAGGATTTTTAATTAACAATATTTTCATTACAAATTCATCTCTGTATAAATGTTTCATCTTGGTGTAAACGTATATTGTAGAATCCAAAATTTTGATATTTTTTTTTTTTTACTTCAAGGAAATAGAGTTGTAGCTTCACTAGTTATGCTGACTGATCATGAAGTGACCGGCAGTATCGCTGACCATAATCCAACATCAAATATATTCATTTTTGTACATTTTGAGGCCATAGTTCTGGAATGTTTTTTGTTATGCACAAAATGAGCTCGAATCCATAAAGAAAAGTAAGAAAATAAGTAAGCATACCCATACAAGACCTAGATATGCATGGGTACTAAGCAATAATTCCTATTTGACGCGGTCTGCTCACGCCCCACGAAACATGGTCCAATGTTAGTGAGATTGTGCCTAAAGAATTTAATTTATACTTACTATTTGTGCAATTAACATTATTTTTATCGCAGCTTTACACATTAAAGGACTCGATGGAATTTTTCTCGTAAGTGTTCTTGCAATATCGTGTTCGAGTAGCTATGTTCGGATCAACCTTGTGGTTGCTACAGTTGTCCATTATTTTGTCACGAAGCTTGTAACGAACTCTTTAAGATGGTGTATAGAGTTCCATTTTATGACCTGTGCATGTGCTTGAATTATTGGTCGAAATTAGGACCCAGAAACTAACAGTGTGCAGAGTTTTTAGTTTTTAAATATTGGTTATTGTGGGTAGCTGGACGAATAAAATTAAAAATTCCTCTTTCTTGGTGTTGGTGTTGGTGTAATATCATGGCTATAGCAAGGTTTTGAAGGAAGTCAGAAGTGGCTTTTGAGTCTAAGAAGCTGCTTTTATACCTATTTGGATAATTTTTAAATCTTTTTTGGTCTAATTAGAAAAGTTTTTGGAGGTATTTGTCCAAGTTGTCTTCTTTAGGAAAGTCTTGCAAAAAGTAAAAGGAGAAATGAAAGCTATCCCAAACAGGTGCTTAAGAGTCATTTGCTTGCTATTCCTGGAAGTTTATCTCAATCATTTTGGATATTCGGCTCTTGTTTGATCCTCATTATTTTTAAAATACATTTTTCTTTCTCTTATTGTTAACCACACATTCTTCAATAAAATAATATTACATGAAAATTCAAAAAAAAATCTCATTTTTTAATTGCTGACACTGGTATTTGCAGGAAGAAATTAGAGCTTGGTGGTGCAGAATTGTGGAAAGTGGTGGAAAGATTCCATCCTTAGACGAGTTGAAAGCAAAATTTGAAGAGAGAATGAATTTAGGTGTTTAGTAGATATTGCATCAGATTAGTATTCGTGCGGGGAGTGTCTTCATTATGTGTTTCATATGAAATTCTATCTTTATTATTGGATTTTTCAAAGTTTTTCCTGCTTTTATGGGCTCCCAAGTGATTCAACTTAGCACTGTTTATGTAAAATCTTATAACGATTTTGGGACAATTATGGTTGAACCTTACACAACATTCTCTTTGGTTTAATTATTGAAGAGGAAATTGCAATCCATGTCACTTTTTGAATTGGCATTTACAAAAATGTCACATTTTAATAATTTTGACAAAAATTTCACTTTTGGACTTTTCTGCCCTTCTAAAAATTTTGAATACCTTACATATCCTTCATTAATTTTTTATTTTAGTAGTTGAAAAAGTTTTACCAAAATGTTGAAAACCCCACCCCACCCCACCCCACCCCACCCCACACCCATGTACCAAACCCACAACCCAACCCCACTGCTCGAATTCTCTCTTCTTCCTCACATTCCTCCTCCATTGCTTTTTTTCATTTTATTTTGTTGACAAAAGGAGTTCCACCAGCAAAAGAGACGACGAACTTTTTTTCCAAATAATGAAGAAATTTGAAACTCCGACCCATGAAAAACTCATCATGCCCATTATCCCACTAAAGAAAATTGATCTTAGATTTAATTTGTTGTCTACTATCAGCCTTGAATTTAGGGTTTGACTATTTTAATTTTTTAGTTTATAACTTTGTGATTCTATTTTATGTTGCAGTGGGACAAAATGTGAGCCAAAAATTGAAGTCAAAAGAAATCATGCTTTTGCCTAGCAAGTCAAGTTCACAAAACCATTTCTCCATCGTCCTCGCCTTAGCTCCACCAATATGGTCCAAAGTCCAGTTGAATCCACCACCAGCGTCCCAGTTACTACCCCTGTTTCAAAGGTTGTTCCCACTTTGGTCCCTAACCCTCCTCATCCCTCCATTGCTTCTAGTAGTTAAGCTTCTTAAAATCTTGTTTTAATTTCTCAATAATTTGTTGATTTTATGTTCTTGAATTTGGTAATTACATGTAATTTTCTTTCTATCTACAGATTTACGTAACAGATAGCAAGCGGAATTGTCGAGAAAGTTAGAGAAAAATTGTTGAGATCTACATTTGAACTGCCTAGACTAAATGTTATGTATTATTTTCGGCATGAAAATAAATGATTTTCTAAATAATTTAATATTCATGGGGTAGTTTTAGGATTTTTGGGAAAATATATTTGTCCATTGTTGATGTGTGTAGTTTATGTTCATGTATGAAAAATCAGTTTTATTGTATAGTACATATCAGTTCGTAAGTCCATACTCAGATAAAACCGAATTGTCAAGACAAGCACTAATGCTATCGTGCATGTAATGTTTTGTATAAATTTAACATATCGAATTTTAAATGCATACACAAGGCACTTACGAATAAATTATACCGACCAATTACAAACTTGTTAGTCAAAAAGTTACAATGACTATCTCGATATTCTAGTCATGAGGAGATTGACATTTGAACCACATGTCTTGATAGTTAACATTTGACAAGATTGCACTTAAAGGTGTATGATGGAAAAACATTCTTAATAAAGTATTAAGTATGTTCATCAATGCTCAAGAACCAAGTGATCAAATCTTTGCAAATAATTTACAGAATGTTATATTTAGTCGAGTTCTCATGTACAAGGACCACCCAATATTATAGAGTACAGTTTCAATAGTATTCTCGTTTGTTTCATTTTGCTTTTCTACAACCACGTGATGTTGTAAGTTTCTCCATCAATATTATAGAGTACGAAGTACTCTATCAACCGTAACATAAGTTCTGCTAGGGTGATATTACTTGAAACTATTATTGAAGTGGTCTTGTTTCTTCGTCACTTCCATTCGTCATCTATGTGGACAAATTGTCCACCATGCGAGACGATGAATTTTAGATTATTACTCATAGCTAAAAATTTTGAGATACCATTAATAAGCATTCAACACATTAATATATCGAATTTTAATAGAATGTAAGTGGTAACTACGAATAGATAATATCAAACAGTAGCAAACCGGTGATACCAACAGTTAAATTGTAATTCTCGACATTTACAAACTGTCGAATTTGACATTTTAACTGTTGGTCTTCACAGTCTAGTTCGATAGTTGAACTGACAGTATTTACGGTTCACAACTGATGAGATTCATTTAATAGGCGTGATTGGAATACATTCTTCAAAGTATTAAGTGTATTCAACAATGCTCAACTACCAAATGACAAAATTTTCACAAAGAATTTACACAATGCTTCATTAAATAGGGAATCTCCAACAAAATTTTATGGGGGATATTGCCATTCAAAGAAATTTGCAAATGCAATCTAAATGAATGAATAATAATTTGCAAATAAATATGAGCATATTGTATTTAACAATTCCATACTCGTAAGCTATAAGATAAAAATTATATATGATAACCATCAAATTTGAAGATGAATTCAAATTAATTTTCTTCTTGTGAATACTTGGAAATACTCCCTATACATTTTCTATTTTATTATTTTTGCTACTTGATAAAGGCTCGTTCTTTATGTTCCCATTGTCGTGATCATAGAAGGAAAACCTACTGTGAGCTATATGGTTTTATCTTGGAATCGTGTAATGTCAAAAGTACTCAACGAAGGGGAGGCAACTCAATTTTAAGACAACGTTTGTAAAGTCCCAAAAAAAAAAGATAATAATAATTTAGTAGAATTAATTATTCTATGTGCTATATATTTTATATTTTGGAAAAATTGGGGGACTAAAATAATACATTTATTAAATTCAATTTTATTTGGATAAAATATTTAGATATTGATAGAGCAATGATAAATATATCAATATTGGGTATGTTGGATAGTTCGTAATTAATCATACATATTAGGTTCGAGAAAAAGTTAATTTGGATAAACGAGACCCAAGTTATCAAAGTGGAAAGTTATTGTCTTAGATTATTAATTAATTAACTTAGAGTTACACGTATAGCAAGTTTGAAGGTAGGTTGTTATTTGATTTTTTGGGAAATTGGTAATGATAGTCATCTTGTTTGAGTGATGGGGAATGAATGCATTTTAAATTGTATGGATTACCAAGATTGAGACCTTTTTGGAAGGGAAAACACGGTATTTTATAGATTTTTAGGCTATTTTTCCTCTTTCAACCTTAAATACCATATAAAGAAAATCATTATTTACCCCAAAGAGGAAAAGAAAAGAGAAAGTATAGGTACGGGATACTGTAGCAGAAAGCAAAAAAAAATTTCTTCCAACAATCCTTTTATTGATCAAGGTAGGATTACGGGGTGCAAGTGGTTTGTCATGTTTAAATTATTTCTTCATGCTGATAAATATTATGCTTATGAAAATAATGATATGATATAATTATGATATGATATAAAATGGTCATCCGGTACCAAAAATATGATATGCTATGAGCTCTTACCGATTCTAAAGATATGATATGACGGTATGATATTTTTTACGAATGATTTAATATTTTTATGAGAGATCGCATCATTATTCGTATCTGATATGAATATAAAATGCATAGTTTTTTCTCTTTATTTAATATGTGCGTATGATTATTTTATGTCAAAATGTACTTATTAATCTCATATTTTGGTTTATGTGACAATTTGATGGATATAACGTAATTTAGAAGAAATAAGTGAAAATGGACCAAAATGGAAGAAAGTGAAAGTCCAGGGAATAAAGTGCAAATACTCAAAAATCATGTTGAACCTCACAATAAAGATTTGACAGTGTTAGAAGTCAATTGAATGAAGAAAGAAGTCAAAGGGGTGAAATATAGTCAAAATAGGATCACACATCAATTTCCAATCGAAAAGTTATGCATCGAATTTTTAGTCTCAGATGGAGATGACTAAAGTACAAATAATCAAAAGCCATGTTGAACCTCACAATGAAGATATCAGAGTGTTAGAAGTCAATTGAATGAAGAAAGAAGTCAAAGGGGTGAAATATCGTCAAAGTAGGATCACACATCAACTTCCAATCGAAAAGTTATGCATCGGATTTTTAGTCTCCATTTAAGACCTATTTTTGACATGGTAAATGATCGAATTAGAAGATCATATCTGAAGCAAAGTTGTATCCCTTTGAGTTAGCTTTACAACACATTTTGAATCAACTCAATCGAATATCGAGAGAGAAAGATATGACTAAAACACTGAAAGCTATCCAGATGTGTACTGGGCGCCCGCCCGGCCCTCGCTTGACCCTGAATTTCAATACAGAAAGGAAATATTTTGCCTGGACGATTGCCCCATTTTATACTGGGTGTCCACCCAGGCCAGATCGGGGAAAAATTTCTGATTTCCTAATTTGAGTCAACCACCTATGGAAACAACTATAAATACATATTTTAAAACCCTAGAACAGGGAGAACGCCTACAAACTCCATTCTTCTTTATTTCTCTCTTAGATTCATGAATTGTAACTAAACTTTTCCACTCGATCGAAGGAAATTGAAGTTTTGGAACCACATATTGTGAAATCTAAATAGTTTTTCTTATTGTTTAATTCTTATTTTGCGTATTGAATATTCTTTTGCACTTATTTTCATGATTGTTATATTTAATTGCTAGGAGGCCTACTAGTTTATTATTCATTGCAATCTACCGCTAAGTTAAATATCAAATCCGTAATTGTTTGATTCCTTTAACTTGTAAAACACTAGGATTCGATGATTTTTTGCAATAGAGGTTATTAAATTTTAAAAAGAATGTTTAAATAGATTGAATACAACCGCTTGTGTTTGTGTTATCTAGTTCATCTATTTCTCTATTGTGTAAAGCTGTTATTAAATTGAAATTTGAGCGCTGGTCTGGGGTTATTTAATAATTAGGGTTAATTAGAACGTTGGTTTCTAACTATCTGAAATTAAGGAGATATAAGAA